GAGAAGGTGTTGGAAGCAGCACAGACGAGCTGTAAAAACAGACCAGTGAGTAATCGGCCAGGCCTGTGTGAGCCGGCATCCTGGCCTCGTGCGGTTAAATCTGAGAGTTTCGCCACATTCCTCTGAGCTTTCCCATCAGTGATCACACCCCCAGCCACCCGCTCCTCAGGGGGAGGCACTGAACCTTTCCTTACGTTTCCTCTCTGCAGCCTGTCCCGCAGCGATTTTACAGATGTCTGAGAGAGAGAGAGATTTAACTCCCAGGGGCTGCTGGGAAATCACAGGCTTCGTGGCTGGGAGTGAGGAATGGCCAGGCCTGTAACACCCATAATGCCGTGCTTTCTCTGTCTCCCCACTCAAAACCAGCACCCACCCAAACACACACACACACACAGACGTGGTGGGGAATTCCGGACGGAAGCGGGACCCAGACACGACTGTGAGAGTTGCGGGTCAATGTTGTCTCACTTGTTACTCACAGTAATTTGATTTCTGGCCTGTAACCATGCAAAAATGGCCGATGTTTGGCGAGCAGCACATTGGCTTGGCTGAAGGTCCAACCTCAGGCTGTGGAGACCCAAAGAGGGGGGGCCCCGCCAGAGAGCAGCGTGACCAAGCCCAGGAAGCAGAGCCGTGTTCCCCCTGCCCAATGTCGACGTATCTGCACTCAGCGCTCTTCACATGGGATCGCTGGCCATGTACAAATCACACAGGGTGACGCATATTACCAGCCAATCTGTGAGCTGCGTTTTTATCCAATCAGTTTCATCTGAAGTGACTCACGGGATTGCCCAGTCGTACGTGTTGCTGGTGTAACCAAGCGGCTCCCATTTAGGGACAGCGTTCAGTCCTCAGTCGCTCCCTGCTGTGCCATCTGTGCCCGGAATGTCACAGTGAACATCGAAACTCAATGCGTCTGACATCAACTTAACATAAATATGGGAGAGTCAGGCAATGGGAGAATGCAGTCCGCGCTCTCAGCATGCTAACAGGAAGGCCGCTCACCTTTTGTTCCCGAGCAGGTTTGTCTGCACGGAAAAACACGTCCAGAAAAATTACTGTGCAATGTAAGAGCGCCCCCTACAGCTGGTTTGTGCAATTTTTAAGAAGTGTTTGCATTCAGTAGACTGATTCTGGAAACTTCTTTTGTCTATCCGGTGTGAGCAACGATGCTGTTCCTCTCTCTTCCCGGACAGGGGGCAGGAGACAGCTTCATCGGGGCTCTGGCTTTCTACACAGCACAATATCCCACAATGCCCCTGGAGGAGATGGCCAGGAGGGCCAATCAGGTGGCGGCCATCAGCGTGCAGGCGGCGGGGACACAGGCGTCCTACCCGTCTCGGGGGGGCCTGCCCCCGCATCTCTTTTAGCCAGGACGTGTCCGCCAGGCCTGGCGTCTGGAGGACTTCCAGCTCGCTAACGAGCCTGCTGCTCCGCTTTCTCTCAGCCTTCGCTGTATAAAATTAGCACAATAAAGGACGCAAGTGTGACGTGGGACAAGGAGTCTGTCCATTCACTGGGCCAGAAGCAATTCAGGTCAAATATGTTCATTTAAATAGTACAACAGCAAAATATTTCCAGCTTCCAAAAGAAAGTAAAACGCCTTTCAGGTTCCACAAGGCTTTTTACACGATGCACTCAGCATCAAAGCCCTGCTGCCCCCCCCAACCCCCAGCACACCTCTGAAAATGCACCAAATGTGGATTTGACATTAAAACAAAGCGGGTCTCTAGGGATGACTGTGATAAACGAGTACAGAAGTCCCTTAAAAGCTACAAAGCTGTCTGCAGTTACCGAGCACCGATTTCACGAGCCTTACATCACCCCGTACAGACACGGATCACTCAGGCAGCTTAAAGAACTCAGCAACACGGGGAGGTGTCACTGCTTTATTGCGTTAAGCATTTCCCATTAAATTATTACATTCCAAAGCCGACTTCTCAGCTAGGGACCGAATAAGGAAAAGATCTGACTGGGGAGGAACCCAGAGGCAGAAATGAGACATTTTTTGCAAACATAAACAGCTGGGTTCTTCTGATTGGGGAAAGTTTCAGAATAAATTCCAGGAGCCTGTTTTCCAACTGGGTTTTCTGTATCCTGCTGCAGTTCATTGTACAGGAAATGATTCGATGAATCAGGGAGGGACGTGGGACAAATACTCCCGGGGGGTGTGACGTGACTCCTCAGAGATGTCAGGCTGCTGGGAGTTTGTTGGACAAACCAGTCCCATAAGCACAGAAGTGTCCATCCCTAACAAGCCCATGATACAGTAGCATCTGGAAGTTTCCCCCAGGGCCGTTCACGCCACTCGCCACCGGAGGGGCGTCCTGTCTTCACTTAGAGGGTGCGGATCTTCCGCTTCTCAAAGAAGAGCACGTGCTGCTTTACTGCAAAGGGGGGAGAAAATGAAGGGATCACCGAGGGCGGGAGCAGCGACACCAACGCCAGCACGATCGCGCCGGGGGCGGTAATGAAGGTCTCTCGCTCTCCCAGCAAGTTGGACTGTAGTTTGTGAGGGGGCCCATGCTGACTGACAAAGATGAGCAGAAAGGATCTGACTGCCGGGCCACACACACAGCAGTTTCACACAGCAGTTTCACACAGCAAAAGCATACAGGGAGGGAAGCTGAACTCCTTCTCTTGGGCGTGTGACCTCCGTAGGACAGTGTTACCCAACCTGGTCCTCGGGGACCCACAGACTCCGTGTTTTTGCTCCCTCCCGGCTCCTGTCTGCGGGACCCTGAGGACTGGATTGGGAAACACTGCCACAAGACATCACTAATCAATCACACACATCAAGCAAGACATCACTAATCAATCACACACATCAAGCACACAGTCAGACACTGCCAGCCTATCAGTCGATGTGGCTCCATGCAGCAAGTGGAAGTGTGAAGAGGCAGTTAGAGCCCAGTCCTCACCCAGGGGGTCCAGCTTGCGCATCACCAGCTTCTCCTTCAGGCGGTTCCGCTTGGCGGTGAAGGTGTAGCCTGTCCCAGCGGCGCTCACCATTTCCACCAGGATCCTCCTGTGGGACACGTGGCCGTGAAGGTGCGCATGCCACAGCCTCTCACATACACACGTCCCTGCTTACCCCATGTGTAAGGCTCTTCAAAGGCTCAGGCCCAAATTAACACACTAGTGATTTTTGCTGGAACATCAAGCCCTAGTGATATGGCGAGAGGTCAAGTTCCACCTCATTCAAGCGGCTCAGAAGCAGACACACAGAAACTTAGCATGAAGTACATTCCAGCTGAGCACTGGGCAGGGAACCAGAGACTGAAAACCAGAATATATGTGCTTCCGTGTGGATAAGAATAATAAAGACATAAGGCTCGGGATGGACGCACTGGACCATATTAAAATCACATACTCACTTGGATTTGGTCCTGGCGACTTTGTCCACGCACATAAAAAGAGAGAACAAGGCATTTTAGGCACATACCGACAAGACAGGCCCTCTTACCGGAACCACACAACTGTACCCAACGCCCCCACCCACCGAATCATTTATATTGCCGTCACAGTTTTAATATATAATATCTGCTGAAAAGGAAATAAGATCTCATACATTAATTAAAATAAGGCTATCAATCACTCTGGTGTTTGCTTTATAGATCACTATTTGTTGCACGTTGTGCATTTTTATTACACAACAAACAAACCTAAGTTTAATATTTGGTTTTGCACCACATTTTGCTTCCCTGGCGAAGCACATATTGCCGAAAATGTCACGCCACTTCGTTTTCATATACATTTGTTATAATTAATCATATGGTTTCTTAATTAACCTATCCCTAACATGAGACGCTTTTATAAAACAGTTTGCATCCTTTCGCTTACGGTTGACCGCTGTCAGGAACATTTTTCAAAAGACGGTCGATTCACGTTGATAATAGCGAGCACTTCCGAGTGACATAGACAATGTCTTCCGGGTGACAGGGATAATATCCGGGGTATCGGGAGTTGTAGTTCTATTACTGCGCAATAGCGCTCTGATACTTATTGATGATAATAATAATAGTATAAACATATAGAACAATATATACATAATACTAATGAACATCTAGTTAACGTGAATTTATTTTTCATACGTGACATATTTGTATATATACATATAAAGTACATACCTATCAGACAGAACAGCTATATTAAAACAAGAAAACAATTAATATCTTAAAAGCATATTTTTCAGTTTACAGTCTGACTTTGAACTAAATAAGGATATTCCGAACCTGATTGATAACAGAGAGGGTTTAATATAGTTTATTAAATGTTCTCCATCTATGCAAAGCTTATATAATGTAAATTCCTTGATAACACTATCTGAAAAACAATGTGTATGTGACTTTTAAATACCTCCCCAGTCCCCGGGGCCACACCCAATCCATATACTAGGATATTAGATTATTTATACAGGGAACAGACACAATGTATACTGTATGCACTGTAATGACAGTAATTTCATTACTGAATGTCACTTTTAAATACCATATACGCTGTAATGACACACTGTCATTAAATGGCATAAAGGAAACCAAAGCAGGGATTTGTCATGCATAATATAGCCAGTGTGAAAGGTTATCACTCTAGCTTGTCCTACACAAATCAAGGCTGCGGTTTTCAGTAGTGCGTCATTTTTAACGTAATAGGGGAAGTGAAAGACTGGAGACTTTGTAGAATTAGGTAAATGATCGTTAAGAGTGTGGCTGAAAGAGGAAGAGGAGAGGGAGAGCAGGGAGGAGGCGGCTGGGGAAGCGATACTTAAGAGAGGAAGACGATCTTTGTCCATCCAGGAAATGAGTAGTTGGGCAAACAGTTTGTCATAACCAGCCAGCTGTCAGGAAGTTTGTGGAAAAGCCTGCGTCATGCAGGATAATTTGGTAAATGGCAGGGACCAACACCCCATGCCTGAGCATTAAGCCTCCCTTTGATTAGCATAAAAGGGGCCTATTCTTTAGAATCGCCTGGGAGTGCTGGCTGTTACGCAATTGTGTGGGGGATAAAGGCACAGGACACTTCTTGACAAAGTGTTAATGTATGGCTGAATTGTGATTAAAATAAACCTTTCAGACCACCGACTGAGATCAAAGTATTACGGATGATTGTTCTCTAGATTCGGTCCAAGTCTCCAGATGCGTTTTGCTGTCAGTTGATTGGTTAGACTGGCTTCGAAATAATAATGAAGGAAAATAACAACAGGCAATGGAAAACATCTGCCTCTGAGCACCCTGGGAAATATGTACATCCACCCAATCATGTTCAATTATCCATAAATCCACCCAATCATATTCAATAATCCATAAGTCCACCCAATCATGTTCAATAATCCATAAGTCCACCCAATCATGTTCAATGATCCATGTTTGGTCCATCAGCAGGTACACAGATATGAAGAGAATACAAATAAGTACAGTAAGGAAAATATAAAAATATAGCAAATATATTGCCAGATATAAAAAAATATCTGGCAAGAATGAGACATTTCTCTTTCAAAACTGCAGCAACTGGTCCCCTCAGCTCCCAAACATCTACAGAGTGTCATTAAAAGAAGCGCTGATGCAACACTGAGGTAAACATGCCGCTGTCCCTACTTTTCTGAAACTTGTTGCTGGCAACAAATTCAAATTTAGCATATATTTGTCATAAAACAAGAACATTTCTCAGTCTCAACATTTCATATCTTGTCTTTGTCTTATTTTCCATTGAATATGGGTTTATTTGATTTGCAAATCATCGCATTCTGTCTTTATTCACGTTTCACACAGCATCCCAGAGTTGTACATACATTTACCCACGAGGTAAATTGTACAAATATACTCATCTACTCATTTTAAGTAACCTTTAAATAATCTTCTGCACATGGGCATTGAGCTCCAGCCTTCTGAATCACACACCAGCCCCCATATAATACTAGAGTGTGAGGTGAAATTTAATATCTAGCTCATTAGCATTTCTGCGCTGCCGATTTCTTTGGGCAGTCAAATAACTTGTAGCTGTATGTGGCTACCATCTGTGGTTGAAGGCGCACAGGCCAGGAGAGAAGGCAGACTGACTGGCCACAGGTCTGATGCCCACTCCTGTCACGCATTCAAAGTTGCTTGGGGGGGGGGGGGGGGGGTATAGGAGTGACTCACGGTGCCGGGACACACTCAGCACAATGCTGCACCAAGTTCAAAAACGCTACCCAGATAAACTACCCACCCGAACACAGCTAACACTGACCGACAAAAAAAAAGGGTGGTTGTTGGTTCAGATCCCATGGTCAGCAGAACGATTTCACTGCTGGGCCCTTGAGCAAGGGGCTCAACCCCAAGTCGCTCCAGATACCCTGCTTTCTCAAACAATATACATTACCAAGATTTATTTATTTATCGGTGAACATGCTAAATAAATTAAATGTAAAAGCCACGACCGGCAAGTTCCTGCTGATAGTGGGGCTGCATCACGAGACAGAAATTCCCGGCGATCCAGTAACCTCTTTCTACTTCTGAT